TATTAGTAGCTCCTGGCACTACTACTAGGAACAAGAAGCTACTAGCAACACAGGGCATCGCTACTAGTACGTAGCAAGAAGCTATTTGTAGCTCCTGGCCTTACTTCTAGGAACAAGGAGCTATTCTTCCCACCTCGCCATCCAAAGCGGCACGGAGCTCCTCCTCCAGCCCAGCAAAGACCTCCCATTCGCCGCGCCGCGCCCGCGACCGGTCGCTTCCGCAAGCCTTGGTCTTTGGGGTCATGGAAGGAGGGCAGGTGGACGGCTCAACTCATAGAAGAGGGCCATCTTCAAAAGTCAAGTTGAGTGTCTATTCAAACTTCAAGGCAACAAGGGTTTTTTGTGACCTGAATCCCAAACTGATCAGCTGCTTCCTCTACATCAAGTTTCGGGTGATCCAGAAGCAAAATCCCCCGTGTCAATACCCATGCAATCACTTCATCCTGAAACGATCTACCGGTCGGCCTGCAAAAGAATATGATACAAATTGCTCGATTGACTTCTCCACCAATCTCTCGCTCCATGCCCCGTACGAAGCACCGCATCGGATGAAGAGCAACGAGCGCCGTAGCTGTCACGAAGTAGCTGTCACCCGCCTGGTCATCTGTGGCGCCAGAATCATAGACCTGAAACGGATGGTCAAAGACAACCACAATGGGTGAATACTTTAATGAGGAGATCCTTGTGCTCACGCTTGCTGAAATATAAATAGATAATCTAGATAGTGTATAATACAGTATACAAGTATATACACATGCTGTATACATATGCGGTAGACTTAAACATCTTTGTCATACTTTGTTCTGGTGTCGTTCTTACTACTTATTGTGTGTCACCGGCCCAAAGCCCCCATGGCTGGTAAGGACAGCAGCTGCAAACCTTGCGGTCTTTCGGCCACAAGTACTCAACAAGCAGGTTGTTCTAGAACTTGTGATCCTGTGTCTTCGGGAACATTCGTTCAAAACCAACTCCAGGCCCTTTTCTTACGGGGCTTTGGAAAAGTGTCTTCGACGACGTTTCACGGCCTTCCACCTCAAAGCCCCGCATCTAAATTCGACTTGAAGAACTTAAGTTGGCTCAAGTGTCGATGCTTCAACGCCCATCTATAGTATAACCAAGTGGGTTTCGGCCCAAATGGTGCGTCATCGTTGGTGCGTCAGGTCCAGGTCTAGCTACAATCGCCGTGTGCGCTGTGCGGCGCGACAATCCGAAAAGGGCAGCTACAATAGCTTCTCCAAAGCCCCCAAATTGGCTGCCACATATATATATATAGATAGATAGATAGATATGTGTGCCTTCTTTCTCCCACAGCCTGGTCAAAGCTAAAGGTTCGCGACTCGAAGCCACCTCGTCCTGGGCCGAAGGAAAAAAACCCGGGACCTGAAGAGAGAAGAGCCTGTATCGGGACGGGTGATCCTCTTTGGTGGAAGCAAATCTTGTGGCATTCGTTGACTCAGCAAATCTTGTGCAATTTGTTGACTCAGCTCCCGTTCTTTCCTGGAAAGCCACAGAAAGCACGGGCAAACCATGGTAAACCCTTTTGGTGTCCTTTCCTACATTCACACAAGGTGTCCTATTTCACCAACAAGGAATTGGAATGCGATGGAACAGTCAAAAGGGATGTTGTACAACCATCAATTCTTCTGAAGCTTCTTAGAATGGCTGAGAACATCGGGGTGTTGTGACAATTGCAAAGAGAGCAGCTGGGTATCAAAGCAAATGCTGTAAAACACCAGCGTCCAGGGTGCAAACACGTGTTTGTCTCAGTGTCTGGGCACACTCGGTGGGGTTGAGCCACTGGTACCCAACCCCATGTTAGCTACAATTCACTCATGAATTTGCAATATTGTCATTTCTTGTGGGTCTACCACCATGACTCTGTGCTCAGCGCCATGACTTATCAAACGTGTCTAGTTCTGGATCTCATGTATGCAACCAACCCAAGCCTTGCCTGGTGGCAAGCCCGGCCTGGCCGATGGTCCAACAAAGAACCAACAACAGGTGGGGTCATAACAAGCAGGTGCTGTGGAAGTGATGGATCTTCAAGAACTGTCAGCGATGAGTGTACAAATGACCTAAATCTCAGATCTTCTGTTTCCCATCAGTGGGTGAGTGTGGACCTTGTAACAAGTAGCTTTCCAGTTTAAAGCTCCTTTGGAGACTTGAGACACATCTCACTTGGCCAGTCACACGTGTGGTGTCCAGCGTCGTTATAAACATCTTTCATATGGTAGGCTCAGAATCCTTGACTTAAATAATTAAACATAAAAATCAAAAATGTCAAATTGAAAAAGACCATCAAAAAAGTCAAAACAACAAAAACAAATTGAACAGAAGCAAACCAAAAAAGTCAAACATAGACCACAGCCCGAAAATTAAAAAAACAAAACAAAATTAAAAGTCGGAAAACACAAAGTCAAACAAAGTCGGAAAAAAGTCAAAATCAAAAAACAACTCAAAAAAGATCGAAAACTAAAGGTCAAACACAAAAGTCAAAAAAAACTGCCGAAAAAAAGTCAATAAAAAGTCGGATCTGTGCAAATTGACTTTGTTTTGACTTTCTGAAACTTTCTGATTTGACTGTTCTTTGGACTTTGACTCTTGGGATTGACTTTTTTGGACATGTTTTAAAAATAACATGGAAAACAGGCTCTCTCCAATGAAAGATTTTTATAGTAAGTGTAGCGGGTCAGTGCTGTGTCTCAGTGCAGCATGAGCTTTGTTACAGGACGTTACAGGAATCCAAAGTCGCATCACCCTTTTGCTTTTTACGGAAGGCTGGCTTTGAGAGCAGGTGCCGACCCCAACCCCCTCGCGTTTGCCATGCCAGGAGGACTCGAACAAACCCCGGGAACTCAGATGAAGCATCCCAGCTGACCTCAGAGAGGCGGATGGTCCCAGCCCAATCGAGGCCAACGAGAGCCACGAGACTCCGTTGATCAACCGGTCTTTTGTCCAGACTGGTCAGTATGGTCAGTGGCTGTTCTCGGATAACGACGACCATGTTTCCACCTTCGCCTGGGGGAAATCCCGTCAAACACGGGGCGAGACATGGCACCTCCACCTGTCCTCCTGAGTCCTGGGTCCTCGGCAATTGGATGCTTGGAGCAAAATGGTTACTGGCTCCCCTGGTGATGTGCTAATTAAACAGACCAAACCAACTGTCTTGTTCTTTGACCAATCTTTGCCAGGCGTTTCAGGAGCAACTCAACCACTATACTCTAGTATACTTACGATAATTCATTAGCAAATCGGAGGCCTCCATCCAATAGCATTCCCAAAGAATGCATGCAGTCCACTTCTATATCATTTACCAGCTATGTATGTGAGTGCATCATGGCAGAGCCTGCATGTCTTCTGAGGGTACGTATTGTTTTTTGTTGATGGTCTCAAGTCTCAGTCCCAACATGTCCTGAACATCCTCAGTTCCAAGTCTGCTGCTGGCGCCACGAGTCCAAGACGACTCAGTCGACGAGTCAGAGGCATGCAACGAGGCATGGCATACAGGGGAGCAGAACACCAAAACAAACGCCAAATAGCCTTCTCCGGTCTTTTCGCTGGGAAAAGGCTCTCATATGCCCTCATCAGATCCAACCGGACACCCTAAACTGCTCGTCATGAAAAATCCGTATCATGTGAACAAATGGATGAACATGGATGAACATTGTAAAACCATGTAAAACCATCCATATTGGAGATCTTAGAAGAAGAAATTCTGCTAGGGCTTTGAATCGCAGAATCAAGCGTCAACACTAGGTCTGCCGTCCCGACCCGACCCCCCATCCCAACTGGTGTGCCGGGCTTGCAGCCAACATGGGGCAGGCCACCTAAGCAAGCGCTCTGGCGTTGTGTTTCGGGTGAAAGGCTCCCACATCACTCAAAAGAGCTTTGGAGGAATTATAGAGAGCCAAATCAGCTTGTCCATCAGCACATTTGGCTCTCTATAATTAATGGACAAACTGATTAATGGATGTTTTCATTCATCAGCACCAAATCGGCTCCTGGATCGGCCATCCCCGCGTCGCATGCGTCGATCCTTCGTCGCGTCGATCCCATGCGTTGAGCGGGGGGCCGATCCAACAAGCTTAGGTCATGTGAGTCAGCACTCCCAGGATGAGTGTCAGGGTCGTTTCTCATGCCAGTTTTGCTTCTTCGCGCAGTAAAAGAGGTGTTATATGTTTCTATAGTTTCCGTGCTGCAAGCTAAAGATTGAAGAGATGTGTGACCAAATGCACACCAACCTTTCTCCTCGCCAAAAAAGAAGACATGACTCCATGAATGAATGGACAAATGGACGGCAAATTGATGGAGTGGAGGGATGATGAGGGATGGACCATGGATGATCGAGACTGGCTCGATGGAGAAGAACAACGCTGATTCTATGTACTTTAGCTAGAACCTGAGCCTGGTTGACCCTGGTTTGGAGCACCAACAAAACCAATTGGTTTTGTTTTCATCTTAAAAGCAGGGGGTCCAATAGGTATGTACATTCTAGTAGGAGCTCTGTTTTTTTTGCCAAGTTTGCCTCAGGTACACTCACCGCTCTCATGTCCTCCATGTCCTCACAAGTGGCAGCCATGCAGTGGTCTGCCATGCACGATCTGACACTGCGGACAGTGTTGATCCCCCTCCAAACACTCCACGAGTGTTGAAGCCCCTCGGTCCACAAGTGGACCGAAGCCTGGCTAAAGACATCCTGACCGAATTGGCATCTCAAATACATCCTTATCTTCCATCGTTAAGGCCTAACAATACTTTATACAAGAGAATATGATGGAACAACTCTGAATCCTGCTACAAAACATTTACCAGCACAACGACCCGATGTTGTCTTCACTGGTCGCCAGGTCCAGTGCCCTGCATTCTTGGCGGGTCCGAGTGGTTTCATCATCGGTGTGGGAAAACATGGGAAAACGACTATGACTAAGACATTCGATGTGGAGGAAAGACCATGTTCATTGCCATAGTGAGTTTTGCCTCAATCTCAATTCGCAGAACAGAACAAAGGTAGAACCGTTGGCTGGCGAGTTTTGCCATAATTCGACCTCACTCCTTCACTCCTGTGATCAGCTTCCCTCCGTATATACGTCAATAGGTTTGCATCATAATGATACATGTAGAGAGGAATAATCGATACATCTCCAACCAACATAATGGAATTGGTGTGCGAAACAAGCTGCTGCCATGGTATACACACCAAACCAACAATGATCAAACACATCTAATTAGTCGACTTAGTCGATCTTGCATAACAAAATCGAAACACACACTCACACACTCACACACTCTGCACAACAAGCATGAAAACAAGCATGCCCCCATGCCACGCACATGTTGCATCGGACCCACCTGGAAGATCTGGAATGGACTTTAGTTGATCCAAATCATAATTCAAAGGTGCGGGTATGGCCACAAGCGCGGCACACAAATGGATGAGGCTTAAACTTCAAATGGATGGTGACAGCACAAGCAGGGTTTGTCAGTCTGCTATCGGTACCATATGGATCCATATGGTACCATATTCTCCAGCCTCATCCAAATCAGTGGAGGAGCAATGACCAAATACAGTGGAGGAGCAATGACTCTCAGCTCCTTGAGCCCTCCATCCTCAGCGACGACCCCTGTTGTGGCCGCTGGTTGAGGCCTTGCTTGGTGTGGCCTTACCCCTTGGAGCTTTCACGGGTGTGGTCAGCTTCTCCAGGCGCATCTGACGGGTTGTGGCTTCTTCGAGCAAGGCCTTGATCACAGCCACTTCCTGAGACATCACGGCCACTGCCCCCTTCTTTTCCAGGCGGGGTTGGCTTATCATATATTATATATCAGAGAAACACCGTCTTTTTTGTGGTCATGACGTTCCCAGGCAAGAAGGTATCTTTTGAAACCTTTGGGTGATTGTAGGCATGCTATGGGAGATTGCATCGAGTAGAAGTTTACCACCCTATACCCGCTGTAAGAGAAATATTAAATAATATGTACCATGTAACCACGTATGTACAATGTACCAAACTCCATTACATGATTGATGTATACAGATATGTCCAGTACAAATGGTTCTTTGCTCTTCATCCGGCATCGATAGGAACCGTCTCCCTCTTTGCCGGGGAAAGACCACCGTCCTTGTCGACATCCACATCCATCTCCGCGGTCGACAACCGCATCTTGGGAGGCGTCTGGATCGGTGTCTTCGGAGTCCTGCCGGGCATGGTGCTGTGAAGAACGGTGAGGGCGGTGGCGGATGTACTGAGAAGGGATAGGTGATTCTTGATATGTCCAACATAAGTGCTTTCCCAAGCCACAATAATCATGTTTAATCTGGTGCAAAAAGCCCCAAATACAAGCATGGAAAGCAGTAAGTCTTCGAAAGGACAGGCAGCAGTAAGTCTCACTCAGTAAGTCTTTCGGAAGGATGGTTGTCACTGCAACTTCTTCCCAATAATCATTTAATGCAAGTTTGATCGTACCTCATGCCCAGCATACCTAGTAGCCTTGAGATATTGCAGGCTCTTCGCAGGTGAGAACTCCACTTCGCTGCAAAACCTTGTAACGAATCTGGATGTTTGCTCAAATATATTTAACTATCTAATTTAAATGCTTGTCTTCACGGTCGGAACTTTGGTACTCTGATGATCCATCTTCGCTCCAGCTTACCAACACTTGGTCGGATTGGACGCCTACACCAGTCTGACGATGTCATCATTTGCCACTCTGAGACCACTCTGGACTGGTGGTCTGGTCGGGCAGGACCTGCATTGCATGAAGCGCATCAGTAGTGTCGTCCTCGTCCTCGCAGAGGGGATCTTCTCCTGCTTGCGATCTGGTGTCCTGGCATGTGTGCCCAGCACATGCAAGTCCAAGTCAACATGTGATTAAGTCGATTAAGTTAACTTAACAAGGCCAGCCAGGGTGCAAATATCCATTCTGCCTCCAACAAACGATTGGTGGGTCCAAATCTGCCCAAAGTGACCAAACGAACATCATGCCAATATGCCAATGCAGGATGCTTCCCTTTCGGACCCACACAAATCACGAAAGATTCTGTGATCTGCCATTTTGGGGGCTTTTTCGGCGGGCCGACCAAGCAGCATGGATTGGTTGAGACTGACCGTACGGTCGTCCAAAATGGAGGTCAGCAAAGGCAGACCATCGCCGGGACCGCACATCCAACACAAAGGACCAAAGCCGGTGTGTGAACGCCCACAAACTGCTCATTCATTCGAGGAAACCTCCAGGAGCCTGGAATTCATCTGGATTCAATTCACCCCTTTTAAACCACCCTAACACCCTTGCATCTGAAGAGCATTCCACCGACTCCGCTGTTCACTCTCCCGAGCTTCTCTGCGCGGAGACGGTCGCAGCTCCTGAGGTTCTCCAGCTCCTTCGCCTGGCGCACCTGGGAGACGACGGAGACATCCATCCGACGTGGTCGTTCGGTGCGGCCAGGTCAGGTGCGGCCCGCCCGCTCCAGGGCGGTGCGAGTGGAGTGTTCTGAAAGAGCAGAGATTTCGATGGATGTCCTGAAACCACTGTGTCTCTTTTTGTTTTGATCAAACATGTCAATATTAATATAATTACAGCTAGCAATAACATATAAAGGACACAGCGAAAGTCCGCATGGTCCGCATCAATCGGAAGGCATTATATTCAGTCCAACTGTTGTTTCAAGCTCATTCAGGTATTTGCCCGTGATGGTATGGGGGAAAACCATTCTGGACCCAGTACTGTAAGATGCGAGTACGCCCCTTTCGTTCAATACGCCTAGAAGAACGTGATTCATTGCAGCTTGCTCAGTGAAGACACTGCAGCGAAGTGAGCACCCGTCCCTCACTTCCCCCTTCATACCCCTCTGGGTGCCATATGGGACAGAAATCAATTCAACCGAAACATCCCATTCCCACCATGAAACAACAAATACCAGTTCTCTCCAAAATGCTGTTCTAGACATTCCATGTCAAAGTCCGATTCCCAACCGCTCTTTACCCCTTTGCCATCCACATCCACTATCCACTGCAGTCCTGGCCACTGCTGTTGCAAGGGCAGGATTTGAAGCATGGCCGTGGTGCTCATGCCACTGGAGCACCTTGCCGCCGCTGGTCAAGTTGGAACAGATGTTCAAATGCCGCATGTATCAAAAGTAGAGGAGCAGGGCGGAGTAGGGGAGTGTTCGAAGTTGAAGGTTGTGATCTATGAGAGAAATTACTAGTTTGAAGGGCAAGAACACCTGACGATCATGGGTGAGCATCTGTGCTCAGCACAAAGCTCTCTAGTATAATTCCCAGTCGTATGCGGCTTGGCCAATCGGTTTCAAGGCACACCTTCTAAATATGACTATATATATACCCTATTATATAACTTACCTCACAAGCACCGGCACCGAATACACATTGAAGCCTTCGACTGCTTTTTGGGGACGGAAGAATCGGGCGAGTCACCCAAATGATGATCACCACCTAGCTAGCAAAGGATTGGGGACCTCCGCATATCCTCCTTGGCTCGCTGTTCCATGGGGAATTGGGATACCCACTCCTCAGCACAAGCCAGCTAGCTGCCACTCTTTTGGAGGTGTTCAGGCGCTCGATGAGATGTTGTTCAAAACCCGATGGGCCGCAATCCGGAGTCTCATCCAAAGTGAGGCACTAGTTGGTTTCAATGTCAGGGATGATCAAGTTGGGTTCAAGCACGATGACAGCTTGAAGTGAGTTTCGCGCAAGTCAATCCTCAAACAACCACAGACTTGACTCGACGGAATGTTTCACAATCTCTCCATGCGTGTTCTTTCCACATTGGCAGCACAAAGCTTCAAGCCTTAAGCAAACACCTCTTCTTCCAGGGCACGGTGGTGGATGCACACCAGATTTCTTCCTGGTCGTCACCTGGGAAAAGGGCTTTCTCAGTGCTACTCGGAATCTTGGAGAAGACCACTTAATTGCCAAATCAGAAGCATGGATGCATGATCAAAGACAAAGCATCCATCTCATCTGCCGATGCAACCGTCCCACACAACGAATAACGAGTGCTTGCCGCACAAGAACTTGTTCAACGCAAGCTGCAAAACCTTGGGATACGCTCCCAGAGTGCAGGGGGTTCTGGAGAGAGGGTGACTGATAAGAACTTCATCGGAGTCACCCAAGAAGAGTAGATGGCAATCTGCAGCATTGGCCTCAAAGCCCACGCGCGAGGACCGCGAGGACATGGTCAAGAATATGCTATGAATACCATCTTGGAGCACATTGCCGACAATAACCAACACTTGTGGTGGGCCCTCAGCAGCAAGCATATTGAATGGTACTTCCTGTGTTTTATCCTCTGGCCCTACAAATTGTTCCAATCTATGATCCATTTGCCTGTACTTCATACATGCATATGATAATATGTGCAGACTGATACTCAAGACCTATGTACAAAAATCAAACAAAGAGCATTTAGAAAAAACGACATGATTGCCCCCAAAAGCATCTAAAAACATCCAAAAGCTGTTGGAAAACTTGGGTGGGATCATAAACTCTTAGAATTCACCCCAAGGCTCGGCTGGATCCTGAAAGGTGAATCCTTTTACCGTCTCAGGAATCTGGACCTGGATGTCTCGTCCCCGAAATCTCGGCGATCTCATCCGGATCCAAGAAATCCCACGGATCAGATAGATGTGATATGATGTGATCCCTCCACCCCTTAAGAGGCCCACAAGAGGGGATTATTAAGAATCCCATCCCAAGGGCCTTCTCGGGCCTTCTCTCTCCACATCCCATCACCCATCCCACCTTGATCCACCCTGTCTGTGGGATCAATGGACAAAAATAGAGTTGCAGACTGAACAATCACCCATCAAACACCCATCTCGCCACCTCATCACTCCACATCTTCTCGTCTCCACACCTTCATCTGTCCGATGTCGATTCGCTGCAGCACCGCAGGCCACCTGATGGCCCGCAGCCGGCCTAGCGCGTCGCGCCGCCAGCGGGGCGCCCAGCAGCGGTCTCCGGGGCGCAAGGGGAAGCGCGAGCGCCGGAGTTGCTGCTCGGTACAAAGGTCACCTGGTACAGCGACGGGTCATCGGTGGACTTCAAGGAGAGGAAGGTGGACCAGAAAGTGTGCACATGCATGCTTGCAAATGTCTGAGGGAAGTAAGACAACTACGACATGAACAAGATTTGTCATCAAAGAAACATATTTGGCACTCATCCACTCGGTGATGTCGAAGCACCTACTGCCATATGTTTGATCGCACAGTTCCTGGGATGTTTTTGCTATATAGATTGTTGCATGTTTGCTCTTGTTCTTTGTTGGTTTACCTGCATGACTCATGAATTATACATAATAGTATAATATAGTTTGATTCCCTCGTCGAACTCAGCCTTCAGGCTTCGTCTGTCGGACCAAGAAGCAATACCAATCTCCATCAGGGACATTCATCGGGGCAGGACAGTCCTCAAATGCTGGCCAGGAAGGTTTTGCGTGTTTTGCAGTTTTGCTTAGGTTTGCGTTACGAAAGGGAACTGGGAAAAAAGTCAACTAATGAGAAAGACTTGGAAAATATACAATCATTCTACCAGGTGGGGGGCATGTTGAGTCGGAGGAGGGCAATCTTTTGTCTTGTTGCTGCCAAAGAATGTAAAATTAGTTCAAGTTCCCTCTCACTCATTCTCGCCCGAGCTTCAATTTCAGGCAAATAAATACAAAAAATACATAAACATATATTTGTCATTGGTGTTTTGACCCAATAATGTCGGTATATATATATATAAATTTTGGTGTAACCTGTCCAATACTGGGGGTTGATTCACGTATTAAACAATAAGGGATAGACACGGCACCTTACTTCCGGTTGATAAATTCACCTTGCAAACCCGGACACATCGTCTAACCATCTGACCGGACCACACGGTGCTCAAGCGTCGCATCCGGAGCAGGCGGGCTGCACAGTTTGAAAGGTCTCACAGCTGCTGTCCTTGGCCATGACGATGAGTTCGTGTGACGCACAAGAAAGGCAAATGCAAGCCTTTGGGTATATACTTTGATTGGGAACCTCACACCGACCAAATTTTTGATTGTACATGTGTAGTATTTATGTTGTTTATCAAAAAAACATTTGTATATACATATTATATACTGGCAAGAGACCACAAACAGGGTGTTTACCTGTCTAAAGTCTAAGGCGTAAAAAACAGACGGTCCGGAGATCTAGACGTGTTGGGTTCCAGAGAAAGGTGATGGAGGTTATGATGGTGGTGATGAAGTGGAGATCGTGGTGATGGTGGTGTTGATGATGGTGGAGGCGATGAAGGTGGTGATTGAGGAGGTGATGGTAGTAGTAGTGATAGTGGTGATGAAGGTGGTGATGAAGGTGGTGACGAAGGTGGTGATGAAGGTGGTGATGATGGTGATGGAGGTTCAGAGTTCTAGGTCTAGAGGTGGAGAGAGATGCTACGCCTGCCACGTCCACAAAGTACTTCGCCTGCCACGAAATCTTCACTCCGAGGTCCGCACGAAATCTACACTTTCAGGCTCACAAAGTGCTGTGCCCGCCGCGAAATCTGCACTTCAGGGTCCACAAAGTGCTGCCCAGTTCCAGGTTCACACAAAGCGCTGCGCCTGCCACGAAATCAGTACTTCAAGGTCCGCAAAGTACTGCACCTGCCACGAAATCTACACAGCGAGATTCCCATCGCGCAGCCCTGCCAAGGCGATTCGCAGCAAAAGCACTTTCAAGACAAAATCAAGATGCCAAAATGCAGCGTTCGCTTGAGACTTCCTTTCACGTCTGAAAACGAGCCACATGTCCAAAAGTCACGATTCACTGCACCTGCCACAAAACTGCCATGTGCGCCTGCCCCGGAATCTGTACAGTAGATCAACATAAAACCACTCCGATCTCCTGCAATTGTCGCAAAAAGTCGACTTTAGACCACCAAAGCACGAGGTTTCCTTGTGCCTGCCACGAAAAGTGATCACCAAGTCTGAAAATGTGCACGGCACCACAGCGAGAGCACAGTCTTGAAGAGCACCCGCCCGCGCCCACCAGATTCCAAAAATAGCGAGGTGAACGAATGTACTGTAAATAGCAGAATTAGCCGAACGCTTCGATGAGCACCTCCGATCAGACACCCATCCACCGTCCTTAAGTCTTACCGTAAGAACCTTTAGTGTTACCCACCCTGTTTGGGGAATACCAACCATTTATTTAACTTCACAACGCGAAAGGGACCATGCTCCAGCCACACAAAGCCTTCGAGCCACTCACGCATGGGAGATTTCAAAAGGCGAGCCTTAGGAGACCCAGCCTCCGTTCGAACTCAGGCGTTCGACTTAATTTCTGATCTGTTCCGATGACACCCTAAACCCTAAACCCTAATGTCGATGAGACCCAACCAGTGGATCTTTGAGTTTTACCACACAGCTGCCTCTCTTGCGCAATTCTCCACCGCCATTGCCACAAAAGAGCCCAACAATCCAAGCATCTGGCTTTGCCTTAGCACTGGTCCTTCGCACTGGAGGGCCCTGTCGGAGATGTGGTGCGAAGAACCCCAGTAGGGATCCGCACATCCGTTGTAAGAACTACATGAAATTGTTGGACCAATGTATCGTACAAGTTAGGACACACAATTGCTAGAACCTCCGGGATGTCCGTTGTCCTATAGATCCAGAAAACAGAACATTATGGTGGGCCCTGGCACTTGGAGGATAACACCAAAAGCGCCCAATTTGTGTGTCCATGCGTGGATGGTCTGGGATTGGCGGAATTGACTTTTAAAGAAATCCAGCATGATCAAATCTGGGTATCTAATAGCTTTGAGATGGTGCGGGTGTTTTTCCATGAAGGATCTTTCATGTGAACTTGGACTTTCTCGCCTGAATCCATCGTATAGATACTATATACACTTGCTATCAATATTAGTATCTGTTGAGTTCTATCCAACAAAGAGGGAGATACACACAAAACACAGTGAACACACACGGCAATGCATACCCGGCGTTAGCGCTGGCCGAAGCCGCGCCTTCGGCAAGCGTCCCGAGCTCCTGGCCTTGGTGACCTTCCGCCGTGGCACCTCCGCTCGTGGCGGTTCCTTCGCCCTCGTCCTCGTGGTCCTCGTGGTCCTCGTGGTCCTCCCGTCGTCGCTGCGGAAGCTTGACTGAGAACTGGAGCTGGTGGCCACCTCAGGCGAGGCCACGGTCAACGGCAAAAGGCCACGGCATAGGCTATGGCCACGAACCAGGAGTGGGGGATAAAATAGATATGCTGGGCACATCCAAGGCGTGGGTCATGGATGCACCGTGGGGTGTTCTGGAGTAGTGGCTGGCTGTAATGGCTGGTCTTTTGGAGCCGTATAGGGTTGACGAGTCTGAAGCTGTGCCAAAGATTGTTCCTGCGCTGGATCACAAACCTGTCAGCATCATGAGATCTTTTCCCAGTGACTGCAAAGGACAATTATATAGTCGAACCCCAATGGTCTCTTTTCCACCAATTTCTGTCAATAAGAACAATTCGCAACATCGGCCCGAAAAGATCCGAAATTGAAATTTGAAATCATTTGAATTCTTTGGAGATTTGGGGGCAGACTTCACCGTTGCCTTGAGCCCTTTGTGTCTTCACTGTGGTACTTGAAAGTCCAAATCATGAGGCCGGAACAGAATGGAACCACTGTGCGAATGGGAACGGAACTGCTGTGGGTCAGTAGTGGCCTTGAGCGTGCTTACAGGACTTGTACAGAAATCTGAATCTCATCCTGCTGTTCTGCGGCAAAGAGCGGCACTGGCATTTGGTAGATCTACAATATGTAGATCTCAGGCTGTACACCCTCGACGAGTGGGACACAACATGGACACAACATTAGAAATACTGTACCAGCATGTACCAGGCGTGCTCCAAAACAGGGTGGTGTGCTCCAAAAGATAGGTTGTGAGAGGCTTTTCATGCAGCCATAACATGGATGAATCGACTTCATCCCACATGTGTTACCCATTATATAAATATAATCTGATCTGAATGTACAGGCTAAGGAGATAAATAGATTCGGACCTAACCCCAATCAAGGATCAACAAAGTCCGAATCCTCCAGCTTCATCTGAGCGTCTCTCTTCCTCTTCCTGACGGACTTTTCACTCACCGCCGCCGCTTGGACTTCATTTCCCTGGGACATCGCACGAAGCGGTGCTTCACTGTGTTTGATCCGACCGGGGAGTTGTTGGTCTCAGTACCGTCGTCTTGTCGCCGTGGGTGCCATGCACCAGAACCCTACTGAAAGTCGAAGATTGCACAAGATAAGAGCTGTTCATATCTAAGGAAAGGACAACTTCATGGAACTTGCTGCCTGGTCCATATGCACAAATAGCTCAAGCGCCATAATGAGGCATGATGAGGATGCCTCCTTTCAACACCGGCTGCCTCTGATGCCTTCACAAGCCTTCACATCCAAGGAACATCTTCAAGCGTTGTATCTGGCCCCTTCTCACTGCTGACCTCAGGGCTCTCCTCGCGTGCAGGCCGGAAGGAAAGCTGACAGGTAATCCGCCATATCCTACTAAGGCCACCTAATTACTCCCAAAAGGAAAGCCGGAAAGCCCTGCTACCCATGCCCGAGGTGTCGGAAAAGCGACTGGCACTTGATGGTATCTCTGTCCTAAGAAAAGCACTAACACTAACCTATTCTGGTCTGGGTGAAGCCCAAATCCGCCAAAGCCCTTTGGCCCTTGTTCAATCAATCGATTCAAAGACCGACAATCAGACCATCCCTCCACCCGGTGCAGGGGGTCAGATCCCATGGACCAACTCCCTCCTCAACCTGGTCAGATCCGACATCCTCTGCCTGACTGGCCTGACAGGAGGATGGGGGAAGGAAGAGGAGGGCTTTGCTGAATTCTGTGAGAATGTTGGTCATTCTGTTTAAAAGTTTATACCTCTCCTGGGGGCATGTGATGGGTTCAAACATGTTCAAACAAGTGCACACAAAGACTTAAACTCGCGAGCACAGGTTTTGGGTTGTCCAGGTTTTCTCAAGTGATGATATTGAGCTCACCAAGATTGCAAAAACATATTTGTATGTCTTTGTTTGTGGTATGTTGAGGCTTTTGACACGTTTGCTTCTCACAGTCGGGTCTGATGCATGAATGTCGAACTGATACAAACTGAATCTGCAGACCTAAATTCACTTCTGTGATGACCCCAGCCCAGTGACTGATGTTTGAACACTTGCATGTTGTTTGACTGGTGCAGGTCTGAAGTCCAGTTCGGTTTGAGGTCACAGAATTACGCTGGTGCAGCCCCTGCCTAATCATACACCATGGATCACGTGGTACTGCTTAACCCCCACGAAAAAATAGCATGTACCGCAAGATATGTCGTCGACATGAAGAAGCAGCAACATGAAGACCCACATTCACTGGCGGATTGGGCCGAATGAGACGACTTCGGCTGACTCGAAGGGCCTCACTCTCCGGCTGACGTGGATGGTCCTCACATTCCACGAAGCTGCGAGGATGGGCGGCCTGATAGCTGTTCCCAAGATGTCTGTGGATGTCAAAGAAATCTGGGAGAGGTCCCTTATGCAGCGGTCCTGTTTTGGATAAGAGGTCTGTGCACCCAGTTCGCCCAAGCACGTGACTTGACCCTTGCATTCAGCCACTCTGACGCGAAGGCTTGGGGCATGAAATTATTCGACTTAGTCTATCGCATCTATGGACATCACCAAACGTGTTTCACTGTTTTTGTCTTTAAAGATGTCTTTTAATTGGTTCTTTTGGTGGTCAATCTTGAGAGGAGCACCACATGTATCAATTCTGGCCTTTAGATGCCTTTAGATGTTTTCAGTCACTAAATCTCGATAGAGGATGGGTAGCAGTAGGGTGTCGCCGTTGGCACAATGGCTCGAGATTGCACAGTCAATCTGACAGTCGCTGCTAGAGACCCGGTTGATCGAAACGCTGGTTGCTTTTTGGAGGGCGTAGAATTGGTCCCAATACCCCCAAAAAAAAAATTAAAGGATGTTAAAAGGGTTCGGTTATATATATATATATCCACTGACTGGGTAGGGAAACATCTTTTTGGTGTAGAAACCTCTCGCTCCTCACTGGACCGAAAGTGGACTTCGTTGTAGAAGTGGGGTCCGCGATGGATGGGCTGGTTTCAAAAAAGTGTGTTGGCATCCGGATTAACCAATGACGACCAAGCAGGCAGAAAGTGTAAAAACCTAATTCAGCTCAGTGAAAGGAGCAACAACACATGTTTGCCTGAGCGGTTCGAACTGCGCCATCAATCACCAAAAAAGGGACTGTCCCAGGTCCCAGCTTCTTCAAAGTGACCTAATTTTGAGGTCCGTAAGTTACCCTTGAGAGGCCTCAAGCTGACCTCGAACTGGAATTGCAAAGTGTCACTCTGAAGAGCCGTCCAGTCCCTGTGTCTAGAAAATGTGGGTCATGAGATTTGGTACATCATGTTCTGTCCCAGGTGCCTTTGGACCCATCTTTGCCCTTCTGAAATACTCAAAACGGCACCAACAAATTAATCTTGAACCCAGCCTGTGAACACCACTTGATGGTTTAATGACCTGAGAACATACATCATATCATCTCTTCATCTCCTTCATCTCACCGTCCCAGAACACAGTCCTCCACAACTCCGAGGGCCAAGTCACATCACTCAAAATCCTCGTCAAGGTGACGGCCGCGGCTCTCTCTGCCTCTGATGGTCCAGCCGCTTGTGGCGGCGCCTCGTGGGGTGCCTCCTCCGCGGGCGCCGCATCTGGATCTTCCTCTGCATCCAGCGCGGCATCGGCCGCATCGACAAAGCTTTGCTTCTCCTGCAGCTGCAGTGCACAATGTTGAGGTGCAGAGGCCAGGTTGAATGTGCTGAATCAGCTTTGTCAGAAGGATCTGGGCGGCCTTCTGCATCATGACAAGCCAATTTTAAAGGAAACGACACCCTCCCACATCAGTCGTTCCCAGGGAATTCCCAGGGGTCCAACATGCCCCCGACATCAAGACTGGTCGGCGAGCTTCTTCGCCGGACAAGCGGTCGAAGGCGGACTCATCCGAGCCCGAATCAGAGTCTTCCTCGGAGGCGAGGCGAGGCGAATCAGCTGTCGTGAGGTGTTCAACGACATGCGTGAAACACTATAGACACTAGACTACTAGACTTACATAAATGGCCCTGGTCGGGATTCGGAACTAAAAGGTATAATGCTGCACCAACGCCGTGGTGTAGCTTTGATATGGCGACAAAGTATTGATTTAGCATGGCAATCACAGCGCTAGTAATTACAATTATCTCACTATATATACAATAAGTTCAATTACTTCGTACTGAATGCGTTTATAAGTGCACACATTGGCAAGCGGATCAAGCAACTTCATCAAGAATACACTCCTTGAAACAATCATGGTTACGTGGATGGCATGGCACCTGGAAAACCATTCTCAATCCTCTCCAAACTGGGGGTGCCATCAACTTCCATGGGCAATTGGAGGGAGGACTGGGTACCATGCCTGCTAAAGCATGCTAAAACATTGTTTTCGGATCTTTTTCGGAACCACCCTCTGGGAAGACGAAGCACGTGAAATACCCTCCTGGATCTTCATACTCACCAAGCCAAGCCAAAATGAGGCAGACTCACACAAACGCCAAACAGTGTCCAAAAGCTCCAACACACAAACACCTCTTGCCTGGTAGTAAGTTGCGTCCAACCCCTCACATGAGGCATACACCAATCACCCAAACAACTCCAGAAACGTGAGAAACGTCGATCGGTCGTGGTGCCTGCCCCCGCGGTACTCAAGCCGCACGGGTCCGGTGTTCACCGGTGTTCGGTCCAGTGTTTGACAAAGACTCGTTCTAATTCTATGATAGCTTCTTGTTTCTAATAGCTTCTTGTTACTACTAGTAAGGCACTTGTTACTACTAGCGATGCACTTGTTCCTAGCAGCTTCTTGTTTCCATTAGCAAACATTGCTCCGTTCGTAGTAAGGCCAGGAGCCCCGATCGTAGCGTCCGATCGCTCCGTTCGTAGCGATGCCCTTTGTTCCTAGTAGCGTCCAAGACTCGTTCTCTTGTCGCCAAGACTTAAAGTTCTGAAAGGCCGTGAGTTCCATCGAGGAGACCTGGAGGGATGGAGTGAGCAGAGGCAGGCAGGCGGCCGGGTTAGAAGGATTGGGGCAATGGCATGTTTATTGGGCATTGATTGATATGTTTTTGTTGGTAGACGAAGTAATGCATGTATACAATTATTATACAATCATCAATTATACAAGCACTGCAAAGTGTCGACATGGATGATCGCATGTCCTCATTCATTCAGAAATGACTTACTCTCCCAACAAATTGATCGATATGTTCGGGTGCAAACATGTTTAAGAAACAGAAAAACGTGCAAAAAGGTCCAGTGGCCTCGCAGTAATTGCGCTGCTCTTCTGGAGGAAGATCTTGAAAGACTTTTGCAGGACCCTGGCCCAGCATTGGAGCATGTCCAAGAAGGTGGATCATTGAGTGAGTGCTGGTGACTCAAGAAGAAAGGTTAGGGTAGGGCGGTTACCGGTTGGTTCCTTGCGTCACGGTCTGGAGTCAAACAAGCATAAAGCCTGAACTTATTTGGGACTTCAATCCACTTCATGGAAAGCGGGTGGGTCTTCTGTGATGAACCGGTCATGGGGTTGCCATGCAACAAACTCCATGCGCGTTGAATCACCTCCCAGTCTGGTTCATCTCGGTGAGTTCCAAGACACCTCGATGTCGACATCGAGCACCGGACGCTGGGCACGGGGGGGGGGTTCCCGCCGGTGGCCCTTCTCGGCCCCCGTGATGTGCGTCGGGAAGACCTCCGTCTTGAAACGCTGGAAGTAGGCAAAGTGGGCTTCCTCGGAGCTGCCGGAGCTGGGCTCCTGCCGTTGGTGAAGAAGCCGGTCGAGTTCGGTTTTCCCAAAAACACAGTCATGTGAGCACCAGGTATACCACCAGTGTAGGAAAGTAGTTTCGATAATACTTAAGTCTAGATATTGTGGAATCTTTGCTCCAATGCACACCTGTTGTAGTCTCTCCGCTTCCTTCCAAACACCGATGTTTGTGTAGCCTGCCCACTCCCTGCCTGGCCCTCCTTTTCTGGCTCACTACGGCCGGCAAAGTAAGCCTCCGTCACGGTGTGCCTGGGTGCGCCACTCTGAAAACGTTCGGAGTGGCGAACGCTGGAGTGCCGAAACGAACGCCTGTGCTCCTGAACATGGGAATGGCCAAGTAGAAACGGTTGGGGAAATTGGGAAATAGGAGCTTGGGAGGTCGTTCACGGCAAGAACTGCCAGCAAGTGACCCTCACAATATGATGTCTAGAATCTTGGGTCTGTTCCGAAAACCAACCAGGACACCCAGAACACACCCCTGATGGTTTGTAGTGTGGTCGCACAATCCTAGTACATCGAGCTGATCCTGAGGGCCACGCTCTCCAGACTGGACCTCAATGGATAAACACTCCATCTATATGCAATATGTGCCACAATGATGCCCAAAACGACCCCATAAAGGTATATATATGGGTCCCATGGGGGGGGACGCCTCATTCTGTCGCCGAAACTTCGCACCCTCTGTCTGTCCACTGTTTTTCTTGACCGCTAAAGCCTTCTTTCTTTCTCACTCAAAGGCTCCTGGCTGCCTTGCGGCAATTTCGGCCAGAGCAACAACTAACCTTCCACACCTCGAGCGACCGCATAGCGACCGTGGTACTTGACGTCTTCCTCAAAGATGTCCCATGGAAGTCGGACGACCTGGGCGCTGCTGCTGCTGCCCCGCCGCAGAAGGAGAGCTGAAGTGCTGTGGCACTTTTGAGCGCTGGAAAGGGCAAAGTGGAGGGCACTGAACCAGGGAAGAACTACCGTTTACGGCTGAAGGGTGGGTTATGGTGGGTTTGTTTTCCAAAGACCTGATCCCTATGTAATGCCTCAGACAAATGAACACCCCTTCCCGCGTAATGATACTTTGACACCCTAATGAGCGAAATCATTGGCTCAAAGGATGTGAACACAACCACGTGTGAGAAAGGATTTCCTCGTGCTCCCTTACATTCCACCCACCAGTGCGAAGCTAGCCATAAGCTAGCCCACCTTGTCCAAGGGCTAAATGGCTAAATTCAAAACAATTGGCTGGTGACTCAAGTTCCACTACTTGCGGTTTTGAGATGAGTTTGGCAGTGCACCAAAAAAAGCAGGTTTGGTCCGGTCTGCAGTTTCCAAATCAGGACTCAGTGGACTCCCCAGGAAGGTGGCCGTGCTCTGCATGAGATCAACGGCTCTTCACCACCCAAATCCCAAAATCAACGGAATTGGAATGAATTGGAGGATGTGCAACATGCTGATGGATTTGTGCTGCCTTGGGTCTATCACTCCTATTAATCTACTACCTCTACTTGCAGAATGTGTTTCTTCCAATTCTTCCATCAATCTCCCTTGCTGGTCAACGAGTTGCTCGAGGGATAGCCTTGGAATTCCACTTCTCCATGGAAGCCGACGCACTGCGCACGCATTCAGGTCGCATCAGGGACTGCGACAGAGCCAGCACAGCGACGAGTCGAGTGGCAAAAACCAGTGACTGCCGACTGCACGTCGTCGTAGCAATTGTTGCATGGTCAAATCAAGGATCCCTTCCCAAAAAGAAATCTTGACGTAACAAAAAGTGAAAGTAAGCAAACCAAAAGTGAAGCCCCCCCATCCCATGCGCAGCAATCACCCGCATCTTGAAGTTGAGAACCTGTTTCCTTCTGTTTCCTTTCTCAACCGCCTTCATGCAAGGTAGCTGAATATGAACTGCAGATCGGTATGTAATTATAAGCACTGTATATTGTATAAGTATGTATAAGTTGCTTCAGGTGTCCGAGTACAAAGGGTGCAGAAAGGGCTAGCATGCAAGATAAGGTCATGTCTGTTGCAATCCTTAACTTATAGAAAACCTGCTATCAAACCTTGCTTGACGTGTTGCGTCCCTCGCGAGTCCATGGCCCCAAAATCTTTGTACATCCTGAAGTACAATTCAGTTTTGGAAGGTGTGAGTGGACTTTTTGTGGACAGTTTTGTGAGCTTTCCAAAAGATCTATCACTCAATTCACTTCCTCAGAACCGACTCGAAGCGACGAAAACCGCTGCTCAAAACACCGCTCAATCCCCCCCCCCACAAAAAAGAGAGAACAAGTTCCCCGCACTGACTGAACCCGCGAACAACGCACCCATCCACCAAGCCGCCAATGGTCCGCCGCCGGGAGCGGTTCGTGGCCGAGGCCAACAAGGAGACTCGAGGCTCCAGAAGCACCTGGAGCCGGACGCGTGCAGTTTGTCTGCTCGGGGGGTGAGTCTGTGCTCTGAGCCGATGCGTTTTGGGATCAAAGCAACAGCAAAAGAACAATTTACATTATGTCTAGTGCCCATGAAAAAGAAAGGACTGCCTAATAGAACTAAAAAGCCTGGTGCGCCCGACTAACCAAAACCAACAGGAGATGTTGATGCACACTATATAAAATACATTCCGCTTGCACTTCAAAGCTAGCAGCTGCAAAAAGAGACCATGCTGGATATACCGATCCAAGCTGTTCTCTTTTCCGCTACGGGAAGTGAACTTCCGCTGCAAGCATGGGCTTCTCGGCTGTCTGTGCAGCCCAAAACTCCCAAGATGTGATGGACAAAATCTCTGGAGAGAGGGACCGCTCTTGCGGATGGCGGAGGGTCGGTGCCCTTCCTCTGTTCGAACCAACCATGGGCGGGGTGACCTATTGGTAGCTGGCAGGCTCAAGTGCAATGCTCAAGCAAAAGAGGCT